GCCCAGCCACTTTATTTTTTTAAAATTCTAATAGATTTAAGGAGTACAAATGGTTTTCAGTTACGTGAATGAATTGTAAAGTGAAATCTGGTCTTTAAGTGTACCTGTCACCTGAATAGCATACACTGTACTCAATAGGTAATTTTTCATCCTGCATCCCCCACCTTCTCCCTTCTGAGTCTCCAATGTCCATGAAGTCACTCTGTATAACCATGCATTCCTTAGCTCCCACTTATGAGAACATGTGGTATTTGGTTTTTGGTTTCTGAGTTACTTCACTTAGAATAATGGCCTCCAGTTCCATCAAAGTTGCTGCAAAAGACATTACTTCATTCTTTTTAATGGCTGAGTAGTATTCCATGTTATATGTATATCGCATTTTCTTTGTCCACTCATCAGTTGATGAGCACTTAGGTTTGTTCCATATCTTTGCAATTGTGAATTGTGCTGTGAATATGGCATGCTTTAGATATGTAATTTTGCTAACAAAATATTGTGAAGTGTAACTATTAAATATTTCTATCAATTATTACAATGCTGGTGCACCAAATAAGCTCAATTAAGTTTCTAAGATATCAACATATGTATTATTAAAATCCCAAAAAATCTACCCTCACAAGTCTCTGCAATTTCATATGGTCAAAAAAAAAAAAAATCATACCTATTTATATTGCTGAGAGGCCCTTAAAATAATAATTGGAAGCTAGTAGTATTACATTATCCGAAAGCACCCTCTAGTGGCAAAAAAGCAATTCACATATAACCTAACCAAAAGTGTACTTAACACGTTAACTGCCATGTGAGTTCTATTTAACTTACACTAGTTTTGAGCCCAAGGCATTATGAAGCATATGTAACTCACATATCTCTTCACCTTGGGAGCTGCAAGAACTATTTTTCAAGTTGCATTTAACTCATGCAAACAATAAAAAGTAACGAACTTTTCATTAAATTAAAAAGGATCATTTTGTTTCCAAAGTTTTTATTCTATTTTTGTAATAAAATACCATGGCCCCAAGGAAAAAACTTTTTCTAGTGTGGCAGTCAATGTGTTAAATAAGGGGCATCCTGAATATTTAACTACAAATTTTCTAAATGAAAATGAGTTTGGCTATCATTAACTTTAATAATTCTCCATTGCTCTATTCAATAAGAGTCAGTTGGAAAAAAAACCAACCTCCTTCAGTACTAAAAATATACTTACCATGGAAAATACATACATATACACATGGAATGAAAAGAAATACCCAAAAGGTCTGTTGACTCTTTGTATCAGTGTACATCTGTTATTTTTTCATTTCCTGAACTTCAACTCGTGTTCACCTCTAGACAAAGGAAAATTGAGTACAAATTAAACATGTCTGATATTTTCACTAGATAATTCCTTTTTAAAGTTCTAAATATGGAGATAATCTAAATCATTAAATATTCATCACAAATAGCCATTAAACTTTATAGTACTTAACTAGAAATATCTATGTTTCCTATTAAACTTGACATCACTAATGTTTTCAATTGCTGAATTTTATTGGCCATGAAGAAAATGTTTCTATGCCTCAAAAAACTTTAATGAAAACATATTTATAATACTTTGAAGTCATGAAACACTTTAATCCAAAAAGATAACACATTTTTTAGAAGTTGGTATAAAAATATAGCTTTCTCATTTTAAAAAATCTGTATTTTTGATGTCACGTACTTTCTTTATATTTCAGCAGGTTCCCATCTTTCTATCTATGTCTGGATAAAAGACAAGACATCAGTGAGTACCAACTAGAATTTTTATGCTTGATGTCTTTATTGAATAACTTCAAAAGTGAAGATGTCATTTGCAATAAAAAAACATATAGTGGATAAGAAACAATAGTAGCCACAATAATCTTACTTTTTCAAGCTAATAACCTTTGGAATATTTAAGCAATTTTTACATTTTTAAGTTAAGCTTACAATCATTTTTTATTCTACCACACTCGAATACTTGTGAAAATAAATAAAAATAAAATAATGACGCATAAGAGGATTATTTAAAAACTGAACTATTGCACAACAAATCAACGTGAAAATAAAATATGCAATATATTTAAATACATTGTCACAATGTGTTTCATAAGTCATAAATATATTTTACCTACTGTTTGTAATAATCTCTGAGCTCTGGAATTGGATGATTTCTTACCATCTCATTTCCATGTGATATAGCATTTATTTGCTATTGTAAAATTCAGTGAGAAACAAACATGCCAATTACTTAATTTAAACTCATTTATCTACCCCTTCCTTGAGCAGACAAAAAATTATGTGGTCTTAGAAAATATTTGAAAGAAAATAGTGCTCAGTCCTAGATAAAACAAGAGTTTAAAGTTCTTCTTCATATGACTTACAACAATTAAGACAGAAGTTATTAAAATGGAAATTTAATATGTACATTAGTCTTCTAAATTTGCTACGGTTTATTCTAGTTGAACTATTTTTTTTTCACCAATATGACTGAATAAAGGTAACTGGGGGAAAAACTAATAAAAAATCAGTAAAGAAACTATAAGTACAATGACAATTCCTATTACCACTAAATTTATATCCCCAGATCAAACAAAAAATAATGAAAAAAAGCTAAATAATGTCAGAGAAATTCTAAGCCAAAAATCTTTACATTAATCCTTATAGTTGATCACA